ATCTATCTATCTATCTATCTATCTATCTATCTATCTATCTATCTATCCTTTATTATTTTCACAAATAACTCAAGGTGGAGAACATATCCAACACATCTTTCTCCTCCTATTTTCCTCTCAACAACAACCTTATGAGGTGATTTGGGCTAAGACAGAGTGACTTATTCAAGGTCATCTAACTGGCTTTCATGGCTAAAGTAGAACTTGAACTCACTGTCTCTTGCTTTCCAGCCTTGTACTTAATATCTAGACCAAATTCGCTCTACTACTATAACTACTACTAATATCGTATTAATGAAAATCGTCAGGGTTGTTAGTGTGGAGAAAATCAGAAGTAGTATAAGAATTGTGTGCAGCTCTTCCAATTGATTACTGAAAGTTAAGGCAAGAGCTAAACAATAAAGACAGTCTGCATTAATATGAAAGAACATGGAAAAAAACTAGCTATCAAAGAATTATCAAAGGACTAAAATATAAAAGGACTATTTCATTCAACAAAAGTCAGAAGTCTCCCTCTGAGTAGAATTTGAACACAAAATAGTATTTTCCTTTTAGTATATATTCTACTACCCAATAGCTCAAGATTTTATTTATATTTTTTTGCCTTTGAGTCAGTATTGACTCTTGGCACAACCTGGACAGGTCTCTGAAGTTTTTTGGCCAGTTTCTGAAGTGATTTGCCACTACCTTTTTCCTAGGGCTGAGACAATAAGTAGCTCAAGGTCACATAGCTGGTTTTGTGCTTAAAGCTGTGCTAGAACTCATGAGCTCCCATATTCCAGCCCAGACCCTTAATCACTACACTAAACTGGTTCTCTTGTTAAAAATACATTGGCTCTAAGCATGAAATATCAGAAAAAGCAGATATAGAAATGTGATACGTTACAGAAGGAAAACATGCACTGTTTGTTTTTCAACTGAATGACTTGTCAGTTTATAACTATAACAAGACGATAATTTGTACACAAGACAAAGGGAAGAAGTAAAAAAGAAAGGAGGGCGAGGATATTCAAGAGAATAAGTGGGGCTGGCATTCTGAGGGTAACTGGCCTAGCAGTGGCTATTTGTAGTTCTATATCTGAAAAATTGACAAGGGAGCTGATAAGAGAAAAGACTATGTTTTAGCATACGAAATACATAAAACTAGTTACATAAATAGTGAATGGGTTTCTTGCTGAGGCCGAGGAAAAGGTGTAAAAAGCCATGATTTATGGGTCTCCTAACAATATCATTTTTTTATCCTGTAGTGAGAGTGTGAGAAATCTTATCTGATTTGCCCCTTTAGAACACGTTCTTATTCCTATACCAAGAAGCAGAATTTATCATATATCTTCTTCCTGCAGTTTAATTTTTAGTGTCCACTAACCCCATATAAGCACAACCAGAGATCTATTATATGAGGAAATGCTTAAAACAACTGTGTCAATTAGCCAAAGCTTAAGAGGCCCAATATCATTACAGGCAGCCTTGACTTACTACCACAATTGACCCCAAAATTCCACTGCTATGCAAGACAGTTAAGTGAGTTTTGCCCCATTTTAATGATCTTTCTTGCCACAGTTGTTAAGTTAGTTGTTAAATAAATCTGGCTTCCCCATTTACTTTGCTTGTCAAAAGTTTGCAAAAGTTGAACACTTGACCATGGGACATTGCAACCATCATAAATACATCCCAGTTACCCTACAACGATCATTAAGTGCAACTACTGGTCGTAAGTCATTTTTTACAGCACTGTGGTAACTTCAAACAGTTGTGAAACAAATGGCCTTTCAGTTCAGAACTACCTGCAATGCAAATTTCTTTCCTTGACAACAGAAGTGGGTGGATCAGCCAGACAGGCTTCAAATCCACCATGCCTCTCTCATGGGGAAAGAGATGTGATGCATCACAGAGAAAAATACAGCAACACTCATCTTAAAAAGTATAATTGTGATGGTTTACCACTTGGAAACAAGAGGAAAGAGAAATGACTAAGAATTAAACTCTTAAGAAAATCTTATGGAGGAAAAGAAGAAATGTCTAGAAGAAGAAGAGGCAGAAAATGTGACTATGGATTGTCCAACTTTCATTTATAGAATTCACTGTCACAAGATAGTTCCAGAGTTTGAAATGTCTGATGCTATCCTCTAGCCCTTTAATTTAAAAGAAATCATGTTCTGTACTTTAATGATTTAAAATTTGTTTTTATGGCTGGACTGTATACTGCTTAGTCACTTTTCTTAACATGGATGGACATATGGATTTTTTAGTGTCCAAAAATCTTTATTGTCCCTTTGGCATTTAATTATATTTTCAGCTTAATTACCTATTAGTGCCAAAACGGATTTTTCCGATTTCTTATTCAGCTCTCTTCGTTGTCAATGTGAGGAAGGAGAGTGAAGAAAAAAAAACTTTCCCTTTTCACTTTCTTTCACTGCTTCCGACTCTTCTTTGGGAGCGATGTTATCTTTTATAAAATTTAAATTCCAGGGTACCTTAGTTGTTGCTTTTCATCCTGGTCAGGCAAAACTTTTACTTCTTATCTTCCTCCTGCACTTTCTTTTCCGGCTGAGTGCTTCTTTGAGGTGGCCATTTCTGACCACCACTCCTACCGCCTTCGGGAAAGGGAGTTTGGCCAGCTGAGGAGGAGAGATGCAGCTCCCCTTGACCCTGCTGGCGATCTCCCCCCTCTTCACCACTTCTACGAGGTGGCTTAGCCCCGAAGCCAATTGCCTCGGGGAGCTCCAGCGGTGAGCCCAGGCAGAAACCACGCACGATCGCGGATTCCTGCCTGCTGCCGAAGCCCTGCAAACCGGAGGTTTTTCTATAAGGAGGAAGGGAGAGGAAAAGAATAAGGGCAGGATTTGGAAGGAGGAGACTGCCTGGACTTCAAAAGAATCTAAAGTAAAATCTCAATAAGACTTCTAAAAGATACATATTAACTGGAACTTTGGAACTAAATAGTAACCCCAGGAAGAGAAAGTGAAGAAAGAAGAAAGTGTAAAAAGAAACAGCTTGTGTGTATTTGGATTGCTTGGTGACTTTGGGATTTTTGGATATTATATTTGAATTACTAAAAACAATTGGGTGGCTGTTTAAAAAAATTCTACAATGGCACCACTTATGGATGAACTGAAAATGGAATTTAAAAAATATAAAGAAGAGACACAAGAAGGGAAGGGCTTCTTTGGCTCTGTTTTTCAATTCTTAGAAATGGCGATCTGCATCTACGAGAAACAACAAGAAATGACTGCGCAACTAGAAGATTGGGACAAAGAAGAAGCCATCTTTAATGAACAAGTAACTCTTTGGGGAAGAAAGGGGAAAGGGGGGAAAGAAAATGGAGAATTTAAGACTTAAAAAAACAGCCAAAAAAGGGAAAAATAATTTGAAAAGTGGATATAAAGTTGGAAAGCAACAGAAAGGGGGAATACAGAAGAGGAAAATGGAAGTGGAGAGGCAGGGGGGTAAAAAGGGGAAAGAGAAGAAGAAAGGGAAGAAGGAAAGGAAGAGAAGTTACAAAGGTTTGGAGCAAGATGTAAAGAAACAGGACTTATTCAGAGATAATGGGTGAAAATTTAACTGAAAAAGGGATTCTGTGAAGGTACATAAGATTGTATTGTTATATTTGTAATAGAAATAATGTTAGAAAATTGGAAACAACGTATGATTAAAAAGTGGGATAAAATAGTCAGTGTAATTTAGTGAAACTTTTGTGAACAAAATAAATGAAATAAAATAAATGAGAGAATTGAATTAGGAAGGAACGGGAACATTTTAATTACTCAATGTT